GCGGGCAGCAGCTGCACCCCGTGCGGAGAGCAGCTCCTCTGCCCCCGGGCAGGACCAGGAGAGCCCCTCAACCTGAAGAGACTAATTTGCCCAATGCACTCTGCCCCTTGGTCCCATTTTACAGTGCCTCGATCCAGCGGGGGCGCGACACGTGCGGCATTAGGCCCTCTCAGCCCAGCAATGCCCGTGGACCAAACTGTACATGATGGTAGTGGCCCCCTTGCCCTTATGGTCAGGGCCAGCGCCTCTGTGAACAGGCTTCGGCTGCGGTGCATGCAGCACGCAGATTGCCGCACTCTCTTCCAGCTTGGTCACTGCCCACAGAAACCCCTGGTTTGCACTGTTTTCTTAGTCTGTTAAAACAGAGAGTGTCTTGTGATATTGCAGCCGGATCATAGAAAAGAGCCTGGCTCCATGGAGCTGGCCCTGAATAAGAAAATTCCCATAAGAATCCCACAAGGGAAAAGGGGTTGCGGTGATGTGGTTGGAGTCTCAGAGCCAGTATATAACCCATAGGCTAAAAGAGGACTTTTGACTCATGAAAAGCTAAGACCACATGCGCTCATGCTCATCTGAAACCTTATAGTACTTTCCAAAGGGTAGGAATGTCACTTACCACTTTTCTTGCCCATTTCCCTTTCAGTTATTATTTCATCCAACTAGTACCTATTACAACTTCAAGCCATGTACCTCTGTATGGTCACTAGTCTGTTGTAAATGAATACTCAGTGAGTTTCATTTGCTTCCAAGTCCACTAGGTCCAATTAGAGTCCACATGTTGCTTCTGAGTCTGGAAGCAAAAGGCACTTTCCACCAATTAGACCCATTGTCCAGCATCCCCAGAAAGGCTGTTGAAGTCAGTGGTGTTGTGTCCTCCTGACCCTCTCTCTCTCACCTAGATTGTAGGCACTGCAGGCCTCCAGTGAAGGCTTAACCCCTTCTGGAGACAACACATGTCCCTTGCCTTTAAGACAGGTTTAGAAACGGTATCTCTTAACCAAAGAATCTTTGCATTTAAGGATTCAAGGTTAGAGACCTTTGGAAACAAAAGCTCAGAGCTAAGAGCTATCCCCCCCCCCCCCCCCCCCTTGGGAGTCCAAGGTGTGTCAGTTCTTGAAACTGGGTAGTCCTTCCAGCAAATCTTTTTTTCATATGTTCACCTTCCCTCAACATAGAATCCCATTATTCAGAGCTCAGGTCCCTATTTAGCTACATGCTTAAAAGCTCCAGGCACCTGTCATGCTTGCTTCATTGTAGAAAAACCACTGTCCCATGGGATGGGCTTATAAGAAGAGAGTCGGATGGGGTATTGCTGACTCTGTTTTTGAACAAATCAAACCCCTTTTTAGGTCACTGCAGATAACTGAAATGCAGGTACATGCAAGTACAGCATCAAACAAGACAGAGCAAGACAATCTGACTCAGACATGTCTCCCACTCACATTCCCTACTACTTTACGTGAATACATTTGCCACTTCCTCTCCAACCCTTGGGGAATACCTATTCTGCACCAATGTTATGGTCTATCAGAAATAGTTTATTTCACTTGCTAGTGAAACACATTCTTCCTTAGTTAAACATCCTGAATTTTCACAAAAATTCAAAACACCAAGGAAAAGCCAGGCTTCTAGGTACCCATAGCTTAGAAAGGGCGTTTAGAGCACTCTGGTACAGTGGTCCTCTCTCCACAGCTGAAGGGCAGTATGTTGCTGCTGACACCACTCACAGCTACAAGGAATTTGGACAGTTTGAACCTAAGGCTAAGAGGGAGAGCCTGCAGCATGCTACTTTCTTGTTACTGCTGCCCACAGGCCAGAGACTGAGGACCACCATTGCAAGGGAAAGAAAAGTAATAAACAAGGCTGTTATATATGCCTTATTTATACATTAAAATATAACAGCCATAAGGATTTAGGCTAGTTTGAGTGCCTAAATAAAAAAAAAATAATAATAATAATAATAACCAAAACCATGGGATGTACCCAAATTTAAATACTGCAACCTAAACATGTTAACCACTGAATGCATTTAAAAATAACTTCTTATGGATACTTCACTACTCATCGCTTGGACAATGAAGTATCTCAAAGTCCTATGTAAGTTTGCAAACTATTACAACCAAGCTGAACAGTAGCTGCTCCATCAAGAAAAAGGCAGACAACAGGATATGGAGAAAGTTGCAACTGCAGTTTACACAAATAACTGTCTCCCCCTTGTATCAGACACATCCTCCCTCTACTTCCAAGAAGCATTTGATCAGTCAGTTCAGAAGTGTAATCATGTCCTGTAGTATAAATGGCAGTAATACAAAGCAGAGTTACTCCTGCACTGAAGTGGGAAACTAAGACCACAACTACATGAATGGTACTGTCTCAAGATTTACCTCACTTCAAGGTTGTATCATGTATCTGCAATGTTCCCCCTACCCACCTCAGCTGAGATTTTCAAGGAACTGCTCGTAATGTGTCCAAGTGGTTATAGGTAGAAGATTCCATCATGCAAAGTGGCACTGAAATGAGCTCAGGTTTCTGAGATGCACCTTCTATCTCAAATGATGGTTATAGCTTCAAAGCTTCATGTGGTCCTAATCAAGGTGTACTTAAGGATAAGTGTCTTTGGAATGTCAAGGAGGGCTTAAGCCAAAGGAAGAAGTTAGACCAAAAATCCTAGGGAAAGTTGTTATTCTTAAAATTGGCAACCCCAGAGCCCTGGCTAGGCCAAAAGTTGTACCCATCCATGAGCACATAGCAGAATTCAGTGTTCTAGTTTGTCTTTTTCTGGCAACACCTAAAAAACTAAACACCCTCCCCTCCAGGTAGTGGGCAGTGTTGCCTACCTAAATAACAAAGGGCTTACTTTTAATGCCCCGTTTCCATATTACACACAGGACCATAATTATCAGATACTTCCCCCTTCACTTCCAAAAGCAGCATAATGTAGAAAGGATTCTAGCCTGCTTCAAAGCAATGAAATTACAGGGCTGTCACTGGCCTTCCCAAATCAGAGGAAAGCCATCAAAAAAGATTTCATAAACGCATTTATTTGAAGTTAAACCTTTTAGAACAAGCATTAGCATATCCTGTGTTGAACACTGTGGAAAACTCCAGAGCAGCTGACCCAGGAGAAAAGCTGCATTTTCACAAGGCTTAGATTTCATAGTTCTTCACTACAGGGGGCTCTTTGTTAGGATCACCACCTCGTTCCAGGTACAGGTTATTGTAGGGATATTGTTTTGGCCCCTAGAAAGGAAACAGATAAAGTTGTTTATTTGATTCTGCTATTTGTCACCTATTTATATTTAACTTACGTTGAGAAAAAAAAAGGTCTACCACCCACTACTTAATACTCTCTCAAAGTGTTTTGTATTTTCAACACACTGGGTGCATCTACATGTGCACCATTACTGCACAGTAATTTATGCCAACTCAGGAGTAAATTTGCTCTCACAGACAGTGTCCTGGTGACAGGGAAGCCCAGCGTGTGCCTGGGACAGAGGTAAGTGTTGCAGAGAAACCAACACTGGGAGCAGACACAGCTTCAACCCTGCCCAGGCTGAGCCAACAAGAGCAGCTCACTCCATGGGGCAAGAAAAGCAGCACCCGTCACTGCAGACATATAACGCAACCCCAACCCTGCACGCGCGGTGCTGCCCCCTTCCCCTGCAGGGAGTTGTGGGAGGGCCTTTCCCTGCTGCCAGAACCGCAGCTCCAGCCAGGGAGCAGCATCTGGGACAGGTGCACAGCCGGGGCCAGGGCTGGTTGTCTACTCAACCACTTCCGATGGGTCTCATGAGGCAGGAACACAAGGAGGAGGTTAGAGCCAGGGCTGGGGCTGTCCAGGGTGCTGACCAGGGCAGGCTGATGGTGAGCCACATTACAGCACCTTAAGGCATTAACAGCTGCATATGTAGATGACAGTCTAAAAATCACTTACTGCATAGTAAATGCATGTGCAGACATGCCCACCTTAAACAAGCCTTATGGCACTATTCTGAAACAAGCATCACTTTGCTCTTCTGGATGGGAAATCTGGGACAGAAGAACATTAAGAGGCTTGTCCAAAGTCAAAAAGCAGAGTAAAACATTGTTTTCAGAAAGTTCTATCCAAAAGGTAAATCTACTCTATTCTGCTCCCTAAAGTTTAAAGTCTGGATCCGCCACAGGCAGAAATTGAAGTCTAGAGCACAATGAAGTGCAGTCTGATCTGAAAAGAGAGGTAAGACACATTTACACAGCACACTAGCTAAAAGGGCTAGTAGTCTGAGAAGGAGTAACACATCATTCTGCAGCTGTTGCTCTTTGGGCATGAAGGAAACAATACACATCATGAATTTACTTTCACGTTGTCCTAGCTTTTTATTCTACCTATTCTGCTTAATTCTAAGAGAGGGGAAGAGAGTAACATTGGTACTGAAGTCAAAGAAGTGTCATGTTGCCAGGCCTTATTTCCACCTGTACAATTTGTGTTTTTTGTACACTTCTGCAAGTTACACCAAGATTTCGAGTGGACAAACCATCACCTACTTGGGGAAGTAAGTTCACAGTAGGTGCTATTACAGCACCCCACCACTAGGTGGCAGATGAGCCCTTTACCTACAGCAAACTTCCTTCCAGATAACTGCAGAAACACAAGACCTACAACAGTGCAGTTCCACTCTAGTTTTTGCCAGGGTCATTCTATATCAAATTCAAGCAAGTAATGCTGGTATAGGGCTGTATGCTAGTTGTCTGGTTCTTTTTTCCTTTCTTTCCCCTCCCTCCTTTTTATACACATTGGTCTAAAGGCTGATAACACTTGTGTTAAAAGCACTGTGCATCGAAGTACAGCAAGTTCTAGAAAGAATCAAAATCTTCCAAAAAGAACACTTGGTTTTAAAAGTAGGGTTAATAATGGCTTTAAAACAATGTGAACAAACATACTGTCATTTTTCAATCTATTTCAGTAGCATTATTCATCCTCTAGCAACATGTTCAGGGTAATTTCTATGTCTCATATTGTTAGAGGATATCTAGCATGCATCCTTAACAAGAGAAGCACTAACTCCACATAGAGGAGAGGGAAATGTGGTTTAACATAGGTAGACCTTTTGGACTGAACAAACCAGAAAGATCTCAGACATCCACTACAAAGGTGAATGAATAGTCTGATACACAAAGTCTAGACAAATTGTAATATTAGTTCAGCCAACATTGTGACTTTTTATTAAAAAAATCTGTTTCTGCTCAGTTCATCATGCTAGCCCTATTTGGAACAATCACCTGTGAGCCAAGCTAGCTAGCAGAACTTCACATGTGCACATTATCACATTCTTGCCTCTCCGTCTGAATTCAGGAGTCCAGAGAGGACCCCTCTCTGAACATCTAGAAGGGATAGGCAAAGCAATTACTAGAAATAATTTCCCCCTCATTTCTCACCACAGGCATGTAGGATGGATACTTCGCTCCAACCCAGAACATGAATATCATGAAGGCCAGAGCGCTAAAAAACCAGGTGCACATGGTTTTCCAAGGTATCATAGTGGCGGTTGTGTCAACACGGGGCCGGACAAACATATCAAAGTCCCAGTGGATCTAAATGGCAAAGAAAGAAGATCATTTATGCATTATGTCAACATCACTATGCATTTCTCAGAAAAATGTAAAGCACTTAAATATATATTAAACACACCTGAAAGCTAAAAGTATCATTCCCATTTTACAGGTGGAGATACAGACAGAGAGAGACTTAAGCGATTTGTCCAAGGTCACAGCCAGTTGAAAGCATCAGATTATATCAGGTTGAGTTCCACTACCCCGCTCCTATTAGGTGATGCTACATCAATTTGAAAAATCCCCTGATCCCATCTTTGTCTACTCAACCACTTCCAATGGGTCTCAGAGCCTGTCCCATTTATTCTCATGGTGTTCCTGAAAAGGCTTGGAAAGAAAGCTCAGTGATTTACAAGGGTGTTCAAGCACCAAGACACATTTGGATTGAGCAGAATTACCAGGGCAAATGACTTCTTGCCACTTCGGAGCAGGTTCTACATCCACATACATGCCTGCACAGCCACAGTCACTATTATTTTGTACTGTCTGATTAGCAATAGTTCGGGAGTTGGGATTATGGCCTCTGCAGGCTGAACAAATATACATTTAAAACTCCACCTAAAGGAGACTTTCACCCCAAAATTATATCAAACAACCTAAGTATAAGGAGTCACTAGATTGAATATGTATCCAGAATAAGGACAACTGAGTATATCCGACCATGTACTGCCTTTACTTACCCCAAGTTCTACTTCACAGAAGCTAGACCTGACTGCACAGTTGTCTGATGTGACGAGAGAACAGACTCCCACCATTACAAGGCCAACTCTTATGAGCAAGGACACAGCAACAGAAGTAGCTTTACTGTTTCACACTCCTCATCTCATTGAAAGCACTTGTTTTCCACTGATTGGCAGGGTAAGGAGGGGGTATGAGCAACAGGCATGTCTCATCTCACAGGAACATTAGATTGGAAGAGGCCTCCCTGGCCATCAAATCCAGTCCTCTGCATTCTAAGGGACAGTAAATAGCAGTTCAATCCTTTTTCTCAGGCAATACAGCCCACCATACATGGGTATCCATAATGACTGCAGCAATTTGTGAAGTTGTATCCAAAAGCTCAACAAAAAGATGATTCCCTAAACCAGGGGTGGACAATTATTTGGGCTGAAGGGCCACCTAGGGAGTGTTGGTGAGCTGTCTGGGCTGGAGAACTGCCTCCTCCCGCCAAACATATCACCAAAACTCTTGTGGCTCTATCCCAGGGCCCAGCTTCACAGCGATAGAGCCCGGCAATCTTGGGGTCTTCATGGAAACTGGCCCAGGACCCAAGCAGGCAGAGCACACTCAGCTGGGCAGATGGGATAGGGATGCAGGCAGTCAAGGAGCAGCATCCACGAGTGAGACAGGTGGGCAGAGACAGGGCCAGGGTTGGGATCTAGATCGCAGGGTGGTGACAGCGTGGGGCTGGGGCCTGGGGCAGAGCCATAATCCGCTGCCCACATGCCCTTGCCCGTGGAATGTGCCAGTCATAAGGATGTGCAAGGAACAGACTACAGCTCTGCTCCTGGCCCCAGCCCCACACTGTCACTGCCCCGTAATCCTGATCCCAGCCCTGGCCCCGGCTGTGCACCCATCCCAGATGCTGCTCCCTGGCTACCTGCAGCCCCATCCCATCTACCCAGCCAAGAACACCCAGCCTACGTGGGTCCCAGGCAGGTCTCCATGGAAACCCCACCCACCTACTCTGTCTGGCTTCCCCAGCAGTAGTTGTGGGGTGGATGGGCCAGGCTGCCCAGGAAGCTGGGCCAGGTCCAGCAACAGAAACTGGTAGCAGCAGCAGGAAGGAGCCGCTGCTGTGGGCACTGCCCAGAAGCAAGTCTAGCCACTGCCCCAACCCCACTGCACACCTGGGGGCAGCAGGACCAGCCACATGTGCCACAGCCCAGGCTGCTGCACAAACCTGGGCCAGGAAGGGGCAAGGGACCTGCTGCAAATCCCTTAACGGGACAGATCCAGTCTGCAGGCCGTTTTTTGCCCACATTTGCCCTATATCTTTTTTGCAGCTTCTCTGTTCCTTCTACAAGGAAGCTTCATCAAGATTTCATGGCTATTTAAAAACATACAGGAAAAAAGAAAACAAACACCATGGCTGTGATGTTGCTATGTGAAAAACATTTCCTTGATCTGTTTTAATCACCCCTCTCCAACTGTTATTATCCTATTTTGATGGACACCTTTTGATACCCTGCACAGACACACAAAAGCTAATGTTTTCTCTAGTTCTCTTGCTAAGGGACAGCTCCTGTCACTGACTAATTTAAGCAACTTGGGTTAGGTTTCAGTCCCCCATGGGAAAACTATATATTCTCATCAGTAAGAGCTATTAGTTATTGGGATGCGATGCTCAAGAATGAGGAACATGGTATATCCGAACAGCAGTTCTAAAAATCTTTTTTTCAGCATCAAAAGTTTCTCACAGCTTCTGACAGCCACCCAGCATTCATTCCATTTAAAGCAATATAGAATAAAGAGGCAGTAATGAATGTACTGGCCTAACTGAAAGGACTTGCACCGATGTGACTGCTTATTACCTAACACGTTTGTAGCAACTTGGTTCTGATGCATGTTCAAATCCCAGTATGGCTGGTTTAGCCTTCTTCTTACTATAGCAGGTATTAAATCACTTGACATTTGTACAAAAGGGTACTGCTCTGATGTTCTTGACCCGTTTTCCTCCACCTCTGTGGCTACACACCACAGGAAATTACCCTCTGTTCTCACAGACAGCACCTCTCAAAATGTTGGCATGCAACTGGACAGTGAAAACATTAAACAAATTAAGTTCTCATTCATGCATCATTAAGGCTCAGCAGAAATAGCTCTAATTTAGCAAGCTGAGGACAAGAACAAGAACGAGATCCAGACTCCCTACCGGTTCTCCCCAGTTTCGTCTATGAAATCGATCGTCCCAGGGATACCAGGGGTCTCTGTCTTCTTGAGATCGGTTAGGGAGTTTGGGATAATCACCACAGCTGTTCAAAACAAGACAAAAAAGGAAAATGAGTTGATATATGCTGTGCAGTATGGCAGCAAAACTGTACCAAAATCTATTAAAATGCAAGAGCAGAATGAGGCATCTTTAGCTACCAAAGCTCAGACCTATGCTAGTTGTAGATTTTAGGCATGTTGTCTGCTCCCATGGCCATCGCTGTACCAGGCTGCATCTCCAGGTTGGGGTTTTTTTCGCCTTTACAAACTGAAGCTAATCCTGCACTACACGGGATTGTGACCACTTGGCCTATGGCAACAGCAGAAGGAAAACCAAGCTCCCTGATGTGGGCGCACCTGTGGCAGCTGAAACATCCCTGTGTACAGAGCCCAGGATGGGTGCAGAGCTGTGGCCTCCTCCCCCTCCTCTCCCACCGGATTGTGCTGAGGGAGTCTAGGGGGACTTCTTTAAACCCCCAAAACAGGTGAGAATCCCCTCCTGCCCCCTGCACCTCCCTTGCCACACTTCAGAGCCACTTCCCGGCTGTGCAGGGTCTCAGCTTACCTGGGGCAGTGACAGCGGGGAGGGGGGGGATTTCCTCCCTGCACAGGCTCCCGGTGGAGCAGCTTCGGGGAACAGCCCCTACCCTCCCCGTCCCGGGCCGCTCCCCCGCGTGTCACGTGACAGCCCCCTCACCCCCGCCCGCC